AGCACAGGGAGGCAGTCGCTGAGCATCTGCAATGCCAGAAGCACAAGGGGAGCCAAGAATGACTGAGAGCGTGTGGGTGGTGGAGAGAACTGGAGGCTGATAAGAAACAGAAAAAAATAAAGCTTCAATTTGCTGTATTTAACACTGCTTCTCCTTACCATGTAGGTCGTGTTTTTCAATTTGCTCTCAGTTAGAAGACATTTCCAACTTCACAACTTCACTTCTGTGCTCCTGCTAAGATGGGAGATCTGATATCCTTCACTCAAACTGCCTCAGCTTCCAGAAGGAAGCACAGTGAGGTCAGTACATCCGGCACACACGGACCCTTTGTGATCCACGTGGAAAGACATTTTCTTGGGGGCTCAGCCCTGCCAAGTCTGCACCAAAGACAAAACAAACCTTATCAACAGTTAAGCTGTGGAGGATGTGTGGTGCTTTCTTTGGGAAAGATGTGGTTTAACTTGAGGCATCAAGCTAGTACAATTCCTTGACTGTTATTTCCATGGTGGATAACACCCAAACCGGGCAGAACAGACTTCTGACTTTTCTGAAGCCGGTGGGGGACTCCTAATTGCTACTGAAAATATTTTCAAAGAAGTGGATCAGTTAGTAGTCCCAAATCCATCCCAGAGGCAAACACGATTTATTTGTCATGTTTCAACAATTCTTCTGCTGTTCATACAGTGTAATTAATCACTTGGCAGGCAGCAAACACATGCAGGACACAGAAGGCAGCTCATTCTCTGACGTGCAGCAATCATTCTGCACCTTGTTAACAGGCAGAGTCACTCTTATTGACAGATGTGAGCAGCAAAAAAAAAAAGGAAAACAGCAGCTCAATACGGGACCAGTGACTAGGAAATAAATGGTCTTGTTTAAAACAGGGACCCTGGGATCATTGCATCTTACAAAGGCTCTTCCACTGGTTTGCACGTACAGCATTTGGGCACAGATTTCAGATGAAGGAATTCCTCATCTATAAGAACACCTACCCTGCTCTTCACAAGCGGCTGGTGAGGTATGCTGCTGCCTGCTCTCACTGGGAGAAGGCTCTCAAATCTTTCATTCAACCTGCTCTTGTTACCAAATCAGGGGATGGCCACTCCAATCTGAACAGCCAAAACGTGCCATGTGAAGTGCTGAAAAATCCAGCTCCTTTTGCCGATTCCCTTTTCCTCTGAGCTGAGACAGAAGAGCACTTGAAGCCAGGCAACTCTTTCCCTGAGCCTGCAACACAAACCTTGGCCAGAGAGATGCGGATGTAGCCAGCCCAGTTCCCTGCTCCCAGCTGGCCAGGTGCCCAGCAGGGCCCAGAGCCAGCTGTTCAGAAATGCGAGACACAGGCACTTTGCTTTGTTTGAGCTGCCTGAATCTGGGTCTGGGTTTTCACTCAGATACTTCAGCGGTGGACTTTCTGTTGGTTCTCACCTCCAAAGGCTGCCCAGGGCTCTGAGGAGCTTGCAGAAACTTGCTATGGAGCAAATCCTGCACAGACTTTTGGCTTTGGCTACAACAGCAAACAGTGGGAAGAATTTGGGGTGGATAGACTGGCTTCTGCCACACTCTGGGCATTTTTCTATTGTCCCTCTAAGGGTTCTAAGAGACAGAAATTACACTGACAGCACTTTGCTGATGCAGTACCTCAAACAGACCACAATACAGATCCGAAATACCAAATCAACAGACTCCATTCACTCACAGAAATGTGGGAGTATTCACAGGTCCTGGAGCCAAGAGGCTCTACAGCTGCTAACTTGTGTAGCTTGTTTCAGAAGAGACCTGCTTCCCTAGTGTTTATAACCACTTCCTTAACACCCTAGAGGACTTTCAGTAGCAGTAGTAACATGAGCTTCTCCTGCATAGTGCCAGAACCCCGTGGTGTAAGCACAAGGTTGGCAGTGGCACAAACAGGTGCTAACTCAGATCACCTCATCTCCTGACACTGCAGCCCAAGGAAAAGCTCAGCAGAAGCTCCCAGTCCCTCCTAACCCACCTCTCCCAGCACAGCTGCATCTCACAAACTCTTTTTCTACCTCTGTGAAAGAGCCTCCAAGGATGTATGGCAGAGCAGGGACTCAAACATTTTGTTTCAAATCTGACAGGAGTTTCCTATTCTCTGCATGCACTCACATACTGTGTGTAGTCTGACTCAGGGCTGAGTCAGAGAGACACTTCCCTTTAATATGAGAATCCTGTAACACCCAATTGCTGCTCTTTGCTATTTATGCATCACACCCCAACAGACCTGAGCTCAGTGGATGAGTTCTGTGTTGGCCTGAAATACCATCCTGACACAGCCTCTCATTATAGGCCATTAAAAACCTTCCATGGAATGGCCTTTGCAGTTTAAATTGCATACACAGAATATTTTTTTCCTTCTGTTTTGGGCAAAGGTTTTAGATATTAAAAGCTCATCAGTTTTTGTTCTTGTTTACACTAAAGAAAAAAATAGGTAAAAACAGACCATTTAAAAAATGTCAAATGAAATGTCCCACTGGTATCTGAGGATCCTGCATATCAATTTAAATTAAATTGCATTCAGTTGGTTTCAATTAAAGGCTTGAGGTTTGTCAGTTTCATCTTCCCCCATTTGACTTGAAATACACAAACAGGCTGATGAGTTCAGCACCTTACTGCGGCTCCTGCCTCTACCTCATCCCACTTCTTGGCATTACCTTCACTTCCTCAGGTTTCTGCTTCTTTGGACTTCAGAAAGCTACAGGACAGGCAATAAGCCCATGGGAGAGAAAGTCAAAGTGACAGCAGAGGAGAGGAGAAATAATGTAAATGAGGATTACATCTCCTCTTCCTTTTCTCACTCCTAAATCACATCATGAATGCAGAGAGACTGCATACCAACAAACCAGCTCAGTATCTATCTGCCTTTGTCTAAGCACAATCTTTCAGGTGCAATAAAAGAGATGCATTCCCTTTAAAGTACCTACTTGTGCCACCACAGCAGATGGTCCTTCTGCTGCCTCCTTCTCCTGGCTGCACCTGAGAATTAGACAGACGTGCAAAGGGTGTACTGGGATGAACGTCAGATTAATAGGCAAATGCAGTTCGTGCCACTGGGAGCTGCCCATAAGCTTGGCTACAGGAATTCACACTCAGTAAGGCCTGGGAAACACAGAGTGAGCTCATGTTCTCAGTGAGTTCTTTGTTGGGAGCTCAGCACAAAATTCAGAGATAACCTCAAATCCACCCAGGCCTCAGAAAACTTCCTCTATGGAAAAGTTCATCTTCCTTCCCCATAGGAGGGGCTCCTTAACGCAGCCTGTTCTCTGCCTTCTCCCAGCCCTTAACTGACATCTAGTGAACAGTTTCTGAATTGCACCTGAAATACCTGGAAACTGCAGGTAAACGAGATGCTCTTCCTGGAAGGCAGAGCTGTGCAGAGGAGCTGTGAGATAAGCGTGGAGCATACATCGTGCATCATTTCCTGTCCTCTTACCACCACTTCTCAGAGGCCACACAAACACTGCATCGACCCAAAGTGGGCAGACAGCTAGCTGTTCCTCTCCCAGAGGCACAAATCCAGGATGCAAAAGGGAATGCCAACAGCTGCTCTCAGCATTAGCAGCAAACACAGCTCCCACCTCTTCTGGCTGCTGGGAAGCTTTGCAGCCACGTCTCTTAGCTCATCTTAAAGCACCTTCTCTGCAGTGTGCCCTTGGTTAATAGCAACTCCCAGAGGAATAGAGACCCAACAGCCATGCCACCTGCCTTCTAATGAGCCAGCAACATCTGCACAGCAATAGGAAAACATCTAGTGTTTGCAGAGAGACTGCTTTGCATTTTATAGTCTCTATCATCTCTTGCAAAACAGGGAGTTTGGTTTATGGTATCTATTAAGGTTACCAAGCAACAGCATTGCGGGTATCTATGTCACCAGTTACAAAACAATACGGTTTCAGAAACAAGCAGACACAGTGTTGTCAGCCCTCTACCACCCAGGTTCTAAAGCCAGCCTGTCATCTTTATTGAGTGGAAAGAGACAGCAAGCTCAGGCAACTTCTGTGCATGAAAAATGTTTGTGGCCAAATTCTGCCCTTTTGTTTGCAGTCACAGAGGTGTCCTTCAGTCCTGTGACAGACATTCTCTGCACTGAGGTGAGGCAATTTCTCTACCTTCTGCCCAAAAAATGGAAACTGTTTTGTGTGTTACTATGAAGCAGTGCAGATAACATGGACCAAGGACAAGGTCCATGGCGTTTACACCTCCCACCACATGCTCCGGCAATTAAGTTTAAGTGCTGAACCCAGCTACACACGAAGGAGTACAAGGAAAATGGGAAATCAAGATCTTGGTAGAAATGAGGATTTCTCCTATGCATGCTGTGGGAAGGCATGCACAGCTATGGCATTGCACACAGTCCAACTGTTAACACCTCTAACCAGCATGACACATTTGGATTTCAGCCTTGTTGTTTGGCCTCAGTTCCCAATCTCTTCCACACTGACTCACTAAAATTTTCATCACACAAAGTATGTGTGTAATGGGAGGATCTCTTCTCCACACCTTCAGTCAAAGTGAAACTCTTTTTTGTAGTCTGATTTTCCAGCCAGATGTGTCAGAGCTGCAATGGTGATTGGTGCTTCCTCCGCTGAGCTTCTCGGCTCAGTAGCTGGGCAGCTCTTGACCTGTAGACTTTTGCTTCCTAGATTCACGACTATTAACAGGTCTTCCCTACTGATTTAAGCTGTATTTCACACAGGGTAACTGTCAGCTGGCCTCAGAGAATTTAGGATTTGATTAGCATTGCTGTTACAAGCCTCACTATTTGCTTGGCTGTGAAGGGAGTCATCCTGCACAAGCTCCCTGGCACCACACAAGTGAAAAACACCGATTGTATCTAATTAAATCAGTCAAACTTCACAGGTGAACAAGTCTTCAGAGCCCTTCTGCAGATCATAAACAACAGCATTTGTAACAACCCAGCTACACAGCACTCCTGAGACTTCCTCAGCGCAATGAGACAAAGCTAATGCTCCTCTTACCTGGTAATAGTAATCATCATACTGCAGCTCATAGTGCTGAGGCCCAGAGTTTTCAGGGGACAGAACATCATTCAGTAACTCTTCACAGCCTGGAAAATAGGAACAAAAGCAAATGATCAGGCTGAGTTTGTCTTCCTAGAGATTACATGCACAATGAAGGAAGAAGCAGAGTCACAGCTAATCTTTATGCGTGAAATTTGAAAGTTAACTCTGGAATATATATATAAATAGCTGAAAGAAAGCTGTGCCTCCAGCATGAGGCACTAAATTGGTACCATCACACTGATGTTGACTCACCACGAATGCTCTGAGCTACAAGGAAATGGAAAGCTGGACATCATTTGGTTCAGTGACTTGCTCTGCAGCATCAAGACCACCCCTGACCAGCGCCAAGCTCAGGATTCACAGACCTGGTGCTAACTGGTGTCTACCTGATGTTAGTATCAGCAAAGCTGCTTCTGATTCTCTCCTGTCTAAGGGATGGACTGGGCAACATGTCACAATTTCCCCTTCAAAAAGGGTTCTGTCACAGGGCACACAGTGTTTGGCAAGCAAACATTTATGCACTGCCATCGAAGACTTTCAACTTTTGTGTTTGCTTTTGGTAACCACATGAGCAGCTGGAAAAATCAATGCCTGCATTTCCTTCAGTCCTTCTCTCATCTGAAAACCTGAGACAGATATAGAAACACTGAAATCACCAGATGTCTCATTCCACATTAATTACCACTGACTGCACTTGGCATGTGGGGCTGCAGAAGGCAGCAGTGTCAGGCCAGGTTAGTTTACAATAACCAGTTTACAGCCTTGGGCCTAAACTGTGTGAAACCTCAGCATGCACACACACTTGGAAGCCGCAGTTATTCAGTGCAATACCTTTGGCTGTGACCTTCTGAAAAGAGACAAGATATGAAACATTTTGCCTTGAGAAGACATCTTTCTACTTGACTTGCCTTGTCTGTCTCTAAACATTTCTGACTCACGTACGAGCTATTTGTTTCCCCTGGTTTCAGTATTTTGTATGTCAGCATGTGCTTGACTGAGGTGACTTTCTGGTCCTCTTCCAGAAGAGGATTTTCTTTTGTGCATTTTGACACTAATATCAAAAGCTTATTACTCATCAAATTGCTTTGTGCCAGCACTCACTGTGACAATCTTTGCAGATACGAACAGCTTGCTCTGCTAAACGGCCTCTGCGTGATATGGGGCATGTACCCATCAAATTACCTCCACAAAAGGACAGAAGGAAAGAAAATAAATGCCAAAAGTTGCACAGCAGTGGATGTACACTGCTGCAATGAGGATGTGTTTACACAATTCTAAACATTCCCAGTTATACCTTCAGCCATAAATTTAAGCCTTATATTCCTAATGAAATTGTTCTTGCAGTGCTTCCAGCTGAAGACCTCTAATCAGTCAGTCTTTATTTCAGCCTGCTAGATAAGCAATGTGTCACCTCCCTCAGCCTTCTCCTGTGACCAGCATGGGGCAGCTCTCCCCACTTCCTCATGACAGCCACCTGGCATGGGCTTTGTGTCCTGTCCAAGACCACAGAAGCCAATCAAGCTTTTGATCCATTTCCAGAATATCACCAGGCATTTAATCCAATTTGGCATAGCTCAGTTTGGCAAATGGAGACAAATCTTGCTTGCACTGAAGTCACAGACAGAATTTCTATCGACATTGACAGGCTCAGGATGTAGGTTCATCTGAGACAATCTCTGTAAAGGTGACTTTTTGTTAAGAAGATGTTTGAGGGCACAGCAGCTGATGTTCCCCTATGAGAGAGGTTTGCTTAGCATGGTTGGCATGCTGGCATCACAGCCTGGGTCTCCTTATTGTGCTGGGAAGATCTGCATGTTATTACAACTGGTAAAAAGGAGAAAAGAAAAATGCTGAGAGGTCCTTTTCCTTTGGGATTATTAAAATAATAATTAAAACATCACTGCGCTCTTGCAGTCATCTGGACCTGATTCAGCAACCATCAGATCAATGGAAAGATGCCCATTGGCACCAAGAAGCTTAGGATTGTGCCACTGTTTTTATTCCTGTTTAGAACTGTATTTAAAGAATTAATTCTCTGTTGCTCTTTCCCCCTGCCAAGACACAAACTGGAATCCTTAACCCTGGAAGGCCCAACCCTTAGCACCAGGAAGGTGGGGTTTGGCACACTGTCAGTCAGTACATCAGTGTTCTTGCTAAGTGTTTTTCAGCAACAGTGCTAAAACATCTCACCTTTTGCTTCCCTTATCTGAATGATAATTTTGCAAGTACTCCAAGGGGCATAACATAAAGAGGGGACTGCATTAACCTGCAGTCTCAAATACAGTGTATGTGTCTTCTTATTACCTTAGCATATTCTGGCTTGCAGCCTGGGATACAGCGGTGAGCTAAATTCAAGTGTCACAGACAGAAAGGAAATTAAAAAGTAAAAATCAAGGTTTAGTCTGGCAAATCTCAGTGTGGAAACATGAAGGCATTGGACAGCAGTTTGCTCAGGGAGTGCTCTGGCCTGGCACACAGGGTGCTTCCTGCTGCTACCGTCTCTCTTGAGGAAAAACATTTTGGCTCTGCTTGCAGAACTGCCACGATGGATATTTCAAGCCATGCAGCACTGTGCACTTAAGGCTACAATCTGTCCATAAATAACCCATTGCAAATAAAGGAAGGAATACTTTCTGGCTACTTTAAGGATCTCCTGCACGGAAATGCTCTATTGTTGCTGTAATTTCATTTTCCATGAAACAAAAAAACTGAAAGCCACTTATATGGCTGTTTGGAGCTATTTTATTTGAATGCCTACTTACATCACAAGATTTTAACGTGCTTAATATTCTGTCTGCCTTGCTGTGGCTAGGAAAATTTCCTCGTGTACATTTCTGGGCTGCACTTGGCAAACAGATCTAGCTCCACTGCAGTCAGTGAGGCAGTAGAAGAGGCACAGAGCAAACCCAAGAACAGCTTCAAGTCCTTCCGTATTTATCAGCACAGCTCTGCAAAGGGCTGCCCTCTGTGGAGAACACCCTGCAGAACGGCTGCACATCACATAAAGGGTGACACAGACCCAAAACAACCTCACCTCTGGAGGTGAACACCAATACCAGGTCACAGAAGGACGGAGGTGGGGCTGCTGAATTTCCTTCTCTGGCCAGACAGGTGCGAGGTGAGCCAGCACTGAGCATACCACCATGTTCTCAGTTCTCACCCAACAGAACACCGAGTTCCTCTCTATTCTAGTTCTGTCTAAATTACTGGAGTTTAACACAAATAAAACAAAACAACCCCAACCATTTAACACTGTTAAAAATGCAGAAGTAAGCACAGCTCCATTGGCCACTGATGGATGAGGGAGAAACGTGTGATGTGGGAATTATTTGCAGAGGCAAAGTGAAGTAAAATGACACGACTTGTCTCTGGTGAGGGAAATTCTGCTGCAGAACAAGAATTGTATGTCATACCATAACCACTACATCATTTATCCTTTCTTCTTGTGAAAACACAGATATCCCTTGAAAATACCCAGCTAAGATTAGCAAACTCTCAAACACAGTGCTGCCTGTCCCAGAGAAAGGACAAGATCATCTTTAGCCCTAAGCAAAGATCATGCAAACGTTTTCCAAGTCACTGAAGGGGAAGAACCTTTAACATTTTCAGTTTGCTCAGGATGCCAGATGTGATTTTCCTTCCCACATCATTTTACAAATTTGCCTTCAGTTTCATTTGAAAAGGAAAAAAAAAGTTTTTCACACTCTAACGTTCAATTTGCAAACAGACATTCTGGCCACAAATAAGTGCAATTGCAGCAAACTGATTTCCTGCAAAAGCTAGAAGGAGAATTAACCCGTCCTGTGTCAGGCAATTTTCACAGGCAATTAAGCCGTTTTCATACCATAGGAAATAAAATCTGATTACCTAATTGAATGAAGTTGGTTTCAGGCGTTTTTCCTAAGACTGATAGCTTCTCACTTCACCTACCCTGTATCCTTAGTGGTGTATGAGACTCATTTGTGTTTCAGATTGAGCCTTAGAAAACTGCGATACTTTTAAGAACAAACCACATCATTAAAGAGTGTTCATTAAAGAGTGATGGCATTAATGACAATAGCAGAGCTCAGCTCTTCATCATACCCATGGCAGCCCCCCCCAAAGCCAGCCCATGTACCAGTGCCTCTCCCCTTATGAAAGTCACTGTCCAGCACAGCTGTCACTGCTGCTTTCGTGGTTAAAATAAGCTATTAAGTTGGAACAGATTCGCCTTTTTCTTCTGATTCTGCATTAATTTGTATTCACGTGGTACCATCTCATCTCTGAGCTGCAACACCAGAGTCAGCAGGGGGAGCTCGCCCTTCATTTGTCACAGTGCTGGGTTTTTTTTTAAGTATCAAAGCGGAGGGACTACTGGAAAGACAACAGAAATCTTAAAATAGAAAGCACAGATCAAACCAAATTAGATCCTGCTAGACAGACCAAGAGCCTGGTCCTGCAAACACGTCTGGCTGCAGAACCTAGCAGCCTTTCGAGCACATTAGAGATAATAGTTCCACTCAAACCTTCAAGCATTACAAGTGCTGAAAATATTTACTGAACGGTGCAATAAATTCAGCCCAGCAAAAACAGCCATTGCTGAGCAAACTGTAATGGATCCCATGCTGACCCTGCTGAAATCAATGGGAATTCAGGCTGAGGATGATGTTCTGGCTGCTCTCAACATCCCTGCACAGTGCCACTTCAGACACTGTTCTGGCTTTGACACAGCTGCTAGGTGAGAGGGTACAGGTGTTATTTGATGGCAATTGCTCTCCAGACTAATGCAATTATTAGAAATAAAGTCATGCAGTGAGCAGATAGCAAAGGCAGTAGTAAAACTGTCATACTCTGGTACTCAAGTGAAACTGCTTCAAAGCTTCAAATTTGATGGCAAGCCTGTCCCTGGCTCTGGCAGAGCCTAATTGCATGGGGAAAATAGCCTAGACAGTAGGGGCTCCATTCAAATGCTGAGGCAAAGTGCTTTAACCCACAAAGGACAAGCAAAAAGAAGCAAAGCTTTCCATAAATAGAACATGCTGCTACCTGAGTAGTGTTCCAACCAGAGAACAGCAGGAGCGAGCTCCTCCAGCACACCTCTGCCCCCCACTCTGACACCTCCACTTGGATCTGATCTCTCCATCACTTCTGGAGATGTCTGCTGTTAGTGGGACTCCTCAGCACATCCTTCCCCATGGTTCCTGCTGTTTAGCAGCTGAGGATTATTTCTTCCACCTGAGAGTCCCAGCAGCTGCTGTGGAGGTACATGACTCACACACCACGAGGTTTATCTAGCTCAGGAGCACTAAGAGAAGGCAAGGCCAGATGTCCACTTGTAAAGCACCACAACACCTGGCATTTTTACCATGCAAGACAGAACAGTGCCCTGGTTACACAGAAGAGCAGCCAAGGTGCAGTTTTGGGACACAGGGCTTGAGGTTTCTCCTTGCAGTGAGTTGCTACCACTCAGTTACAGAGCAGACACTGAACAATCTGATGTTTGGATACTTTTTTCAGGCTCCAACATTTAGCTTTCAGCCAAGATCAATACCTGGATCTGAAAGGGATTTGAATTTATTCTAGGCGCTTCAAGCCTGATGTTTTAAACACCAATTCAAGACAAATTGGACTACCAAAAACCCCTGTATTTTGCAAAAAGGTTCTTCAGTGTACCATTAAGGCAAGTACGTGTGAGATAACTTAATCTGAAGTCTCATAAATAAGAAATATGGCAAGGCAGTAGGATAGTAAAGTTTGATTTTAGACATTTGGCTTCATGAGCTAAGAATAACACAGCTTCAAACTCCGTCACTGAAAAAAACACTGATTTATAGTAGCATCTAATTTTGTTCTATTAATCTGATTACCCCAAGCAATTGCAATAGGCTGGGAAGAGTCATAGTCATACTCTGCTGCTGCCAAGACTAATTGCTTTTGTTCAATAACAAGTCTGCTGCTATCGTTGGGATGTGGCTGCACTGAAAAGCAAGAGGTGGAAGCTTCCCATTCTGAAAGGCAGAAATACCTTTTTTTCAAACTTCAACATAGCCACTTTGTTACTAAGGGAAAAAAGCATAACTTGTAACTAAAGACCAATACCACTTGCTCATAATGTGAAAATAGAGCCAGATCTTCCTAAGAGATGCTATGAAAGCACACGTAACAATGTCTTATCAGAAATAGGTGCAACTGCTCCTGCAAATACATGCACTTGGCACTGACACTGAATGCTGACAAAGCTAACGGTGTGCTAAGACAGCTCCACGTGATGCTGCAGAATTGGAAGATTTCTCTGTGTCTGCTCACACACTAACAGCCATCAAGCATATCATAAGATGCTCCACATGAGAACTTTAAGGTACTGATAAACTGTGAGTATGGTATATTCCAGGGTATTTGGTTCAGCCATATTTTTGCAGGGCTAGACCCAAGGACATGTGTGACCCATTCCCACAAGGTGAGCAGGGGTGGAGGTCTGCTAAGTCACAATATGCCCACGCTGTCCACCTCTCAGTAAAGGAAATGCAGATGCCCGTTCCTTCACTGAGTCTAATGCCCACTGGCTCCTATTTACTGAGAACAAGGGCACTTCTATTACAGAACAGATGTGCTCAAATGCAGCAGGGGGGAGGAGTGAACCAGGAGCACATCTTTAGACTGTGAATTACAGAGGGTTAACAGGTGCATAGAGCTTGTGTATTCTTTAACCTAGAACCCTGTTTGCTTTTAGAAAAGGAGAATGTCTAGTGCAGGCTATAGAGTTTATACATCAATGCGTTAACTTTTCTTTAGGGCTTTTCAGCGCCTCCTGTCAAATACATCAATATCACCCTGGGAGGTGCCTCCATGCACACGGACTATGAGCAACTTCTCACTAACTTCACATAATTACACACTATCCTCTGTTACCATAAACATTAATTAACGTGGCTATGGTGCCGCATTCTTGCATCATTATGGTTCATAAGAGTTTAATTGTAGCAGACTTTCCAGAGGACTCCTCCCAACCAGGCTGCAGTTGCTGTGACATTCCCTTTGCCCCTGAAGCGAAGCCTGGGAGCTGTGATGGCATTCTGCATTCACTAAGGACATACCAGGTGTCTGGAAAAGGACAGGCTGAGTTATTTTGCTATGGGAGGCTAGAAGACTTAAAACAACTGAAGTCTCTCTGCCGTTTGCCCCACTGTCCTTTGGCAATGCTATAAATGCACAGCAGTGCCTGTGCCTTCTGGTTTGATCTAAGTGGTCTCTGCCTTCCAGGCTCCTTAACATGTCCAGCCTGTAATTAACTCTTAATTCCAATACAAGCACCTAGGTAGTCTGAAAACATGAAGCAGCTGTACCTTGCAGATAAGAAAAGTACAACAGTCTTAAATTTTCTAGTAGGGAAATTAATGCTCAAGGGTTTCCTAACTTCCCTAAGTAAATCAACAGCAGAACCAGAACCTGAGAGCATCAGACTTGGGTGCTGCCTGCCAACCATAAGGCTACTCCTTCTTCTGCTATTTTTTCCTGCTATGTCCACATCACATCTGCTTTGAAAAATTAACAGTAAACCAACATACAAGCATCTGTGCATGCAGGAACTCTAACACTGCTCACCAGTGATGCATGAATTGCTCAAGAAGCAAAAATATACTGGCTCTGTTCGCAGAGTTGCCCTACTGTCACTACAAATGATCACAGTCAAGAGAAGCAGCAGCCAGTCCAGCCGTGCTGCTTTCTGCTGCATAAACATCAGCCAGTCTCAGATAAGGCATAATTGCACTGCTGCACCAAGCAGCACCAGCTACACCACGAATGACGTGGCCAGGAACACTCAGCTCTCACTGAAGGGGTCACCCAGCAATCCTCACAAACACAGAGCTCAGAAACACACTCAGCTCTGGGTTTTTATTTTCTAATTCCTAAAAGACCGAAAAAAGAAAGCCAAGATGGACCGCTGGGGATTATAACTGTTTGTGCCTGTGTGAAGCAGGAAAGCATCCTGCTGCTCCCTAGCTGACGTACTGGCTTTGATCCTTACATTTCCTGCAATCAGAGAAACATTGGTAGCATTGAAGTGGGTTATTTTTAAGAAACATGCACATACCTTTGATAGCAAAAACTCCATGGCAGAAGTCCTTAAAATTGATTCTTCCCAAATCATTTGGGTCCAAGTACTTTGCCAGTTTTTCCACCTGAAAGAAAAGATTATAAAAATGCACATTGATATTGGTGAACCACCTTTCGTCCCACTGGTCTGTAACTTCCACAAGAAGTTACAAGAACTTCCACAGTTACAAGAACACAGCTTGAATCCTTCAAACCACTCTGCAAGCAGAAATCAGGTCTTACAATTGGATAATCCGTGTCAAGAATGCTCTGACCAAAGTTTCTACACGTGGGACACATCAGTACTCCTCCACACGGACCTGGAGTGTTTAACAGGGGGCAGCCGTGTGACCTCACCTGTCATCTGTAATGAACAGTGCTAATAGGTCTGCTCCCCCTGGGGCCCTCATTGCTTATATAGTTAACAAGTTAAAGCCTTTCTGAGCTCCACTCCATCTTCATCAAAAGTTACAGGGGAAGGAGAAAGGATATGCACAGCCCATTCATTCCCTGAAGAATCCAGACAAAAACAGTCAACGCTCTTTGGCCACTTGGAATCAAACAAAAACTCCCTTGCCACAGCAGATGGCACAAGTCTGAACAGGAAAATACACGAACATTAAAAAAAAAAGTTGTGATGTGTTCAGTACAGCCAAGCAATGCAGTTATTGCTTATCATCTCAGCTTCACAGTTTAGCAGTTCAGATCACTACTCACTGTAAAATGAGATTACGTTGAATTCAAACACAGCCACCAAATTGGCATTTGCCCCAAAGAAGGTCTGGCAGATTTTTCCTGGGGATGCTGATGAAGAGGGAGAAAAGCAGTCTGACAGGAGGGGCTGTTGTGTTGTGATGTTTGGAATAAAGGAAGCAAAGCTTTCCACAGAAACACAGAGCTGAAGAGGGAAAACCAGGAGGGAGGCAGAGCAGCCCAGAGAGGTGGGTCTGTGCTGGGACACCCAGCTGGCCGCTCTCCCATCACGAATCTGCTGATGGCACTGTACAAGCCCCTCTTATCCCTGTGCCTTCACATCTCACACCAACAGCCTCTCACTGCCCAATCAGCAGCACTGCTGAGATCTTGGCTGGACTCCTGACTGCACAGAGCGCAGCCAGATGAGAGGAGCAGGTGAGAACAACAGGTACTGTGGGGTGCAGCGCCATCCTGGTAACTCCAGCATGAGCTCAGAGATGTCAGCCTGCACAACAGCAAAAGCCCAGCTGGAAAGATATGCAACAAACGAATGCAGGTGACCTAATTTCTCAATGTTCTGTGTTGCTGTTTTATAAACATGCTAGCAGAAACCTAGCAGTTTCTTAAAGCCCTGCAGACAAAGCAGCAATGTGTGCACATAATGCCTCTTCCTTCCTTCAGATTCTCTCTGTGTTTTTAAGTTCTCTATATGCTAATAAATGCTTCAATTAGCCAAAAGCCTCACTTAAGATGTGCAAATCTACAGCTAACAAAGGTTTTGGGACAGTGAGATGCAATTCCTCAAAACACAGCAGCTTCTGCTCCTTGCAGGATGTTTCCTGTCCCTCCAGTCCTAGCAGCACTGCAGAAGATCTCCCCAGCTCTGCTGCCTGGTGCTCTTCATCCACCCCACACCACTGCTGGATGCTGTGCATGGAACAGAACAGTGATGCTGTCACACAGATAACAGGCAATGAAAAACTGTGCAGGCAGGGTCACTATCAGAAACCAATGTCACAAAAATATCAGCAATCGGACAATTGCTTTATATTGATAACATACACCCCGCAGTACCGTTGTAGAATTCAAATAGAGCAATAGGAGACAATCCCAGTGGCTTTCCTTGCTCAGGATGAAGGCTGGGTACCACCACTGACACAGCAGTAAATTAACAGTACAGAGGATGGCAGGTGTGGAAGATAAAAGAGTACATTCCCTCCAAGTCTTTGCTTGAGACATTTTATTCTAGGCAGGAGGGCTGAACCACAAGATATCCCAGATGAGCAACTTTGATCTCCATTCAGACACAGACTTTAGACATCATCCTCTCAACCCATAAATTCTGTCATGATGTTTTATTCTGGATCGTCAAAAAGATTCACATTTTACATTCAAAGAGCCATGAGACCTTCCTTCCCACCGATCTCCTGGCTAATTCAGACTGTCTGCTTTCATTTTGGAGGCATCCAGACAAAGCCCAGACTCGTGCCCTGTGAGGCCTGGCTCCTCTCTGGATGGGACAAGAGGGATTTTCCCACTGATATCTCATTTTGTATACACATGAAATACAGCTCAATATACGATACAGGCAGACAAAACATCAAGCAGAATCCATGTATAACAAAGACCAGGCACAGTTCCCTGCAGATACAGACATTCGGGCTGCAGGTCCTGTAGCCACAAACACACCTGTCCTAATGAACACCTTGCTCATCCCTCGAGACACAACATGCACGTAGGGCTCTGCAGTTCCCATCAGCAGCAAAGCTTCCAGAAGGTGGGCACTTCACCAGAAACCACAGTGTGGGTTTAATGCATGCAAGACCAGCTGGAAATCCTTCCTGAATCCAATTAAACAGATACAGGCTCACTACTGGAAAGCAGGGTCACCGTTATCCTGCTCACCTTCACAGACAGCATAAACGTTACAGAAAGATGAAGCAGCAGCAGAAATTCCTTTCTTCAGACTATTTTTGGATGCACTGAAAGCAGCACAATCACACCAGCCATTGAGGCTGGCAGCAGCAAGATTTTAGAGCTGAAAAATCTTCCTGAGTACCACACACAGATGTGGCAGTTGGTGTAACAGCCCCATCCCAGGGACAATGATGAAGACCTCGGAGTGGCCACCAGCTGAGCATCAATCTCCTCACAGACACAGCAGCAGCAGATGATCAGACACCTGTCCTCTGGGCTACAGACCAGCCCATAACTCTCCCTGACAAATGGCAAGCTCCCATTGTTGCTATGCAAGTAAATAGCATTTCAGATGCTTGCAGGGTTGCTCTGGAGAATCCTATTTCCTGTAGGTCTCTTGCTAAGAGGCAACAAACTGTTTTTTACGTTTTAATACAGATTCCTGCAGGCAGCTGGGGAGCCTCTGCACAATTTAATATTGTGCCACAGCACAGCAGTGTCACTGGGTGTTCCCAGCAAGCCTGGTATGCTAAGTGCATTTTCGAAAGCTGATCCAGTGATTTTAGTCCACCAGTTTCTCAGTCACATAGAATTACATTTTCTAATCAAATGAAAGGAGATACTATATGCCCAGATGTGTTTGTTATGGAAGAACAGAGAATATATTCATTTTTAGGTCTGAGCACTGTCTTAGCAGTAAATGAAATTATCACCTAAACAAAGTGCTTCAGTCTCCAGTTTCCCCCAAATCCAATTTGGCAGGTTCTCAATTAGATTCTGTAATGCAAATAACTGACATCAGTTCAGGAGAGATGAAGAACTTACAGAACAGCCCACGGGATCAATGCTCGCATCCTCAGCCAGCACTAACCAACACAGCACCCAGCAGAGGCCGAGGGATACGAGGATTTTCATCAGCTAGGATTATACTTAGGTAGGTAGCTGCATACAGTTAGAGCACTAATGCACACACGTGCACAGTACATAAAGCCCTGTGTAGCTGTGCAGCTTTGAGACCCTAGTGCACTCGATCAAGCACGTTTAACAGCTGCTTTCTGAGATTCTTCGCTGCAGGGACCATCTTATCTGCAACACCTAAGAGGACCATCAGACAGGGCTTCTTGTTGGGGTCAGAACAAAAGCAAAATCCACTACATGGTTTAAGCAGTGCTTTCCAGTTAGTTCCAGACTGAAGGCATTAAAATTCAGCAGTTTCAAGCTATGGCCAAATAAGCAACACCATCACAGCTACCTCTAAATCTTCTCCACTGTCCATATTGTGCCAACCATCCTTCTGTTCCACTTTGTGGAAAAATAATGTTCTAGCCTTCTCAGAAGGGGTTGGCTCCCAGCAATTAATCAGAAGAAGTTATAGCACATATTTATTGCCCTGAGAAGGTTAAGGGCTTGTCAGTCCAACAGCTGGGCTGCACAACATTAAAACCTTCTTTGCAGTCAACAGCCTCATGGGCTTACAGATACAGCACTCTGATAGCAAACAGAAGCAGCAGTGTTTCAGCCCTGTAGCGAATGGGACGCGCCAGCCATGGATGCAGTTGGACTCCTGAGGTCCTGCACCTTCAGGCAGTGCAGGGCTCTGCCTCCTGTGCAGATCCCTCTGCAAAGGACAAAGGACTGCAACACCAACTGCTGCCAAAATGCAGTGCTGAAACAACCAGGTGGTTGCTGCAATGCCTATGGGGAACGTGCCACGAGCTCCAGAGCTGAGCATCATAGATCACTGACATGAGCTGGAGCCAGAAACTCTTCTCTGCACTACAACACAGAGCAATCCCCCACCGTGTGGGTCAGCACAAGCAAGGCCTGGATTGCAAACTCTTTCTTCATTGTATGAAGAGAAGAATGGGGACAGAAATTAGCTGAATGCTCAACAGCCTATCCAGCTCTTCTGGCAGCTGCAAGGGTCTCTAATGAGCTCCTCGGTAGACATCCAGTATTCTCAAAGAGCAAAAATAAATCATTTTCTGCCTTGGGAAACAACTGGGGAAAATCATACCCTTTGTCCCTATTGTTTGGTTTGTGTGGATGAATGGGTGATTATCCTTTCTGTGTAATCAGCCAAAGCATTCGCCTCCTCTCCATTGCATTTCCCAGCTATTCTGAGTGCACTGCAATGTGATGTTTTCCCCATTGCCTTCTGATAAACATGAACAGCCAAGGAATGACTTAAAGAGCCTCTATGATGAAGGAAAAAAATCCTTGAGAAAAGGGACAGAGCTCAGAGTGAAGGAGCAGTTTTGTAATCAGCACAGACCGTGGCAGAGATGCACATTAACAGTTCAAAAGCTCTGGCTGCCACACAGAGGTGAATGGCAAGGTGCTGTGGCACACACTTTGTAGGTAAGAGCCTCATGTATGGGCACCTCCTGACCAAGGAGCCCTGCTCAGGACTCCTGCCCAGCTCTTGTACTCATGCTGCCAAAGCAGAGAGGCATTATTTTGCAGCAAAGAC